TGGTGTTTGGTGTGGGGTGGGGGGGGGGGGGGGGGGGGGGGGGGGGGGGGGGGGGTGAGGAGGAGGAGGACCAGGACCAGGAGTGTCTCTGAGGACTTGTCATGTCTAACTTTTTGGACCAATGGAACGTGGGCTGCGCGCAATCTGGAAGCTCCGAGTGTGAGATGAACCAATGAGCTGCGGGGAAGAGGTGGAAGTCCAGCCTCCTGATTTCAACAGATTGAAATGTAAAGCCAGTCTGCAGCAGCGTCAGGAAACAGAGCGAGAAATTTGTCCTTCTGGTTCCTCTGATCGCACAAGAAGGTTTCCACGGAGGCGGATTTTCTTCTGTGGTGCGGGGACAGCGAGGACACGCTGGACGCGGAGCAGGATCCACGCAGGAGGCAGCAGGAAGCGGACACCGTGTTCTTCATTTGCGGGTTCAACAGTATGGGTGAGTCTCGAATTTGTTTTTGTTGCCTCTTCCCCGTTTCTGTCTCCTCGTTGGTGGATGCAGCGAATGTCCACTGTCCTGCAGGGAGTTGGGGGAGAAAACAAGCGAGACCTCGTCCACATGTGACGGGTTTCGATCGTGAGGTGATGACGGCTGTTGTAGCTTGTTTATTATGGCAAACTATGGTTCCAGCTGTGAGGTGACCGTGAACACCGCCGTGGTGTGTTTGAGAAAATTAGTCAGAGTGAAGAATAATTTTTTTTGTTTATTTAGTTTTAGTCTCTGGTTAGTTTACAAGGAAATAACGATTATAAAGTTAATAAATGCTGGCTCATGTTTTGGTCTAACAGTTGTTACATCATTAGTAAAATAAAACAGTCCAGTTGGACTGGATGAAGCAGACACAGCTGACTGACTCGGTGATGTCCTCAGACTTGTCAGTCTCTCTGTCAGGCCCTGGTCTCACTCTCCTCCTTTCTCTCTCCGTGTGTTTGATTTCTACACCAGAGCCAGCCTTCGGTGAAGTCAACCAACTCGGCGGCGTGTTCGTGAACGGCAGGCCGCTCCCCAACGCCATCCGCCTCCGCATCGTGGAGCTGGCCCAGCTCGGGATTCGACCCTGCGACATTAGCCGACAGCTGCGCGTCTCGCACGGCTGCGTCAGTAAGATCCTGGCCCGCTACAATGAGACTGGCTCCATCCTGCCGGGAGCCATCGGAGGCAGCAAACCCCGGGTCACCACACCCACCGTGGTCAAGCACATACGGACGTACAAGCAGCGAGACCCGGGGATTTTTGCCTGGGAGATCCGGGACAGGCTACTCGCCGACGGGGTTTGTGACAAGTTCAACCTCCCGTCCGTCAGCTCCATCAGCCGGATCCTGCGCAACAAGATCGGGAATCTGTCCCAGCAGAGTCAGTACGAGTCCGGGAAGCAGGCGCCTCACCCTCCGCCTCAGCCCACCTTATCCTACAACCACTTGTATCCGTACCCGACCTCCAAAGTGCCAACTCCCCCTGGGATGCCCACTCTACCCGGACACATGGCCATGCACAGGATATGGCCTTCGTCGCACTCTGTGACAGATATTCTGGGGATACGGTCGATAACAGAGCAACAAAGTAAGAAGGCTGCAGCAGGGACGACCTCCGTCCTCCACTGTCTGCTCTATCACTTCTGATTCTATGTTTTTATTTAAGTTCTTACTCACTAAAGTTTTTAAGTATTGATGCTGTACCGCAGGCCTCGGGTCAGAGACACAGAGTACACAGATATGTTGGTGCTCCATAAAAAAAAACTCTATTTATAATTATAATGAATACACATAATAAGGACATAAATGTTATAGTAAGAATACATTACAGCAACAGACAGAGTTATTGCCACAGACAAATGTCAAAGGTCATCTGTGTGGTTCTAACTTAACTTAAAAAATATATACTGGTTCAAATTGTTACTATAAAAAAAACTCCCCATATATAAAATACATTTCACCAAGAAAGTAGTTGATAAACCTAAAATTTACTTCTTTAAAATTAGCAAAAAATATAAAAACGTTCTTCTGGTTTATAATCTGACCTTCTGGGTTGGTAGCCACGGATCGATAGCAAAAAAATATGGAGAAAATAAATTCCTAGATCAGTTCATCAGTGACCTGCGTCTGTTACACAACAGTCCAGTCAATTCCAAAATATTAATTAAAAAAAAAAATTGTAAAAGCCTTAAAAAAAATATCAGCAACCCGGAAAACATTTGCCGTGACCCGTCTATGGGTCCTGACCCAGTCTTTGGAAATGACCAAATACATTTGAAGAACAGATCAGAACTTTCTGACTAGTCAAAGCTACAGTGAAGAAACACAGACATTAATCATGGAACCTGATTGTAAACGCCTACAGCGACTGTCATGTCTGTGGTTCTGTGTTCGCTGAAGGCATCAGGATTTTACAAT